CCTGCTCTGCCACAGTCTAAATATGTAACCTTGGGCACGTCACTTAGCTCCCCTTGTGTACCGGCAAACACAGACTCAGTGCAGTGAGTCTCAGAGCATGGGTCAGCTATCTTGGTTTCATGCCCCCAGAGTCGGCTGACCTGGGCTTGGAGACGCACGGCCATGCATTGTTCTTGTTTGAAGTGCAGCAGATGGAGCTTCTGCGTCTCCCTTCCCTTCCTGCTGTGAGAGGGGGAGAAGAGCCCGGCCCTTCCAGGGGCGTTGAGGGTTCACACATTGAAGGCTGTGAGATGCTCGGGTGGGGGGAGGGGGGCAGTGACGTTTATACAAGCACCTAAGGTAGTTTGATGCCGTTATGGCTGTTATTGGTCTCATGCAAGGTCTTACTTCCAGATGGTAAGAACGTGAGAGCCGCCAGGCTGGGTCAGACCAAAGGTCCATCTAGCCCAGTGTCCTGTCTGCTGACCGCGCCCAGGGCCAGGTGCTCTACAGGGAATAAACAGAACTGGGCAATTTCAAGTGATCCTCTACTTGTTGTCCAGTACCGGCCTCTGGCAGTTGGAGGTTCAGAGACAGGTGGGCACAGACATGCATCCCGGGCATCTTGGCAAATAGCCTTTGATAGCCTTATCCTCTGAGCTCATCTAAATCTCATTTGAACCCAGAGATATGTTTGGCCTTCACAACATCCCCCAGCAAGGAGTTCCACAGGTTGACTGGGCACTGTGCACAGAAGTCCTTCCTTGTGTTTGTTTTAAACTTGCTGCCTATGAATTTAAGTGGGTGACCCGTGGTTTCAAGCAGGGGCAAATAGCATTTCCCTAGTCACGTTCTTCACACCATTCATGGCCCTGTCTGCCTACAGCATAACCACCCTTCAAGCATCTCTTTGTAATGTCTCCTCAGATGGAAGCTGTTCTGTACCCCGATTGTTTTTGTTGCCCTCTCTGTGTATTTTCCAATTCTACTATATCTTTGTGACAGTGGAGGTATAGGGAGGGGAGGGGGGGAAGGGAAGAGCTTTACCCAGTATTCAAGGTGTGGATGCTCCATAGGTTTCTATAGTGGCTTTATGATATTTGCTGTCACATTATCTCTCCCTTTTCTAGTGGTTCCTCCCGCTGGGTTTGCTTTGTCTGCTGCGGCTACTGAGTGGAGGTTTTCCGAGAGCTCCCCACGATGGCGCCAAGGGTTACAGCCTCCGTCGTCGCTGCACTTGGGGTTATGTTTTCTCCTGTGCATGACTCGGCACTTACCAGTATTGACTATCACCTGCCGTAGTCAGGGTTGAACTTTACTATTGTGAATCATTTGGCACGGGCTGTCCCTTTTCTACCGCGCGGTTCCAGATCCGAATGGCCATGCTGAACGGCACCAGGCCCAGTACAGATTCTTGGGGGACCAGCGCCGTGCCTCTCTCTGCTGTGAAAATGGGCCATTTATTCTTTCCCTTTGCTTCCTGTCGTGTAACGGGTTGCTGATCCAAGAGAGGGCCTTGCCTTTTATCCCATGACTGCTCACTTTGCTCTAGAGTAGGGGTTCCCAAACTTTTTGACATGGGGACCAGTAAATCCATTCACGAACTTTTGGAGGACCGGTTACATTCATTTGCATATTTGCATATTCATTAATCAAACGATGAATATTCAAATAAGTTGTTTCTGGTCCTCCCAAAGCCCCCAGTGCCAGCTTTAGCAAAGCTTTTGATACGGTCTCCCACAATATTCTTGCCATCAAGTTAAGGAATATGGATTGGATAAACAGTGTCAGACAGACAGAAAGCTGGTTAGGCCAGGGTTTCCCAAACTTCCCAAACTTTTTACTTTAGTTGAAACCCTTTTTTTAGTACTGTTTTTTGCAGCCCAAAAATATAAACATGTAAAAAACAAACTGAGAAAATACCAGATCTAGAACATGCCTGGTAATTTCTCATTGGGCAAGTTGTATTATTACTAGATGTATCAGTTTGTAGTTTCGAGCTGCCTGGCTGCTAAATTGCTCAGGCTGCATGAGTGTGTCTCCGAGCCAGCCAGTTCACAACTACTCGAGGGGGTGCAGAGCCACAATAGAATCCCCAGGCCGGACTCATTCGTGCTGTATGGTGGGGAGGGGAGGGGGACAGCGCCCTGAGATCTACAAATGTCTGTGTCAGTCCCGCCCCGCCCCCCCTGCTGCGCCAGTTCTCCCCCGCTTCTCCTCCCGATCTCCCTTGGCCAGCCCCACTGCCCGCGTCCAGCCCTGCTTCCGGCTGCCGCTTCTCTCCCTCTGCCCCACATCTTCCCCGGCCAGCTCCCCACCCCCGACCTCGCGCCCCACCGACAGCCCTGCTTCCGCTGGCCCCTCCAATCTCTCCCGGACCGTCCCGAT